TTGAGTTCGGTTATTCGCGATAACCTTGTTATTCTGATATTTGGGTCAAAGTTTTAAATGGAGGTGGGGTTTCCTGCTTTTTCCCTGTTTCTTTTTCGCTTCTTCCCCGTCTCCTCCCACATGGAGTCTCATTTCTATTCACGAGATTCTCTCAGCAGATGCGTTAGTCACATGTTCAGCTCAACACTGAAGCGCTCACATTGAGTGACAGCGGGGCTAGTTGCACCATCTGTGCTTTATTAATGTTACACAGCTTAACAAACACCAGCAGTGAATACTAATGTGTTTTCCTTACTGTCGCCCTTGCAATGCAGTTCTAAAGTTAGAACTTTAGTTACATTTACATTTATTTACATTTCTGTATTTTTTTATTTTATAACTTAATTAGATTTGATTCCGTCGACATCCAGTTGTAATAATGGCTTGACTGTTGTGCTAGATGTTGTTGTTGAAGATTCAGCTACTCGGAACAAAAAGTTCCAAGTAGCACGGGCTATGGTGAGCCCATTGTAAACTTACCTGGCACAGGAGCGGGGCTGTAACTTTTTTTGTGTGTTGTGCCTGAGTGAAGGTGACCTCACATAGTTACCCTGCCTCATCTCAGGTCAGGTCATCACCATACTTACTGTTCACCTCACAATCATTGTGTTCGTACAGTGAATTCTTGCTAAATCTATTTTTGTTTCTATCATTCAGTCATTTGTCAGCAATTTTTAACTGTAACACGGTTTGTTTATTTCTATCATGTCTCAAAATCTATTCGGATATCCCTCAGTCGTATACTGTGTATTTACTGTGTGTGTGTGTGTACTCACCTAATTGTGCTTGCGGGGGTTGAGCTCTGGCTCTTTGGTCCCGCCTCTCAACCGTCAATCAACTGGTGTACAGATTCCTGAGCCTATTGGGCTCTATCATATCTACATTTGAAACTGTGAATGGAGTCAGCCTCCACCACATCACTTCCTAATGCATTCCATTTGCTAACTACTCTGACACTGAAAAAGTTCTTTCTAACGTCTCTGCGGCTCATTTGGGTACTCAGCTTCCACCTGTGTCCCCTTGTTCGCGTCCCACCAGTGTTGAAAAGTTCGTCCTTGTTTACCCAGTCGATTCCCCTGAGGATTTTGTAGGTTGTGATCATGTCCCCCCTTACTCTTCTGTCTTCCAGTGTCGTGAGGTGCATTTCCCGCAGCCTTTCCTCATAACTCATGCCTCTTAGTTCTGGGACTAGTCTAGTAGCATACCTTTGGACTTTTTCCAGCTTCGTCTTGTGCTTGACAAGGTACGGGCTCCATGCTGGGGCCGCATACTCCAGGATTGGTCTTACATATGTGGTGTACAAGATTCTGAATGATTCCTTACACAGGTTCCTGAACGCCGTTCTGATGTTAGCCAGCCTCGCATATGCCGCAGACGTTATTCTCTTTATGTGGGCTTCAGGAGACAGGTTTGGTGTGATATCAACTCCTAGATCTTTCTCTCTGTCTGTTTCATTAAGTACTTCATCTCATATTCTGTATCCTGTGCCTGGCCTCCTGTTTCCACTGCCTAGTTTCATTACTTTGCATTTACTCGGGTTGAACTTCAACAGCCATTTGTTGGACCATTCACTCAGTCTATCCAGGTCATCTTGTAGCCTCCTACTATCATCCTCTGTTTCAATCCTCCTCATAATTTTTGCATCGTCGGCAAACATTGAGAGGAACGAATCTATACCCTCTGGGAGATCATTTACATATACCAGAAACAGTATAGGTCCAAGGACTGACCCCTGCGGGACTCCACTTGTGACGTCTCGCCAATCTGAGACCTCACCCCTCACACAGACTCGTTGTCTCCTGTTGCTTAGGTATTCCTCTATCCACCGGAGTACCTTCCCTCTCACTCCAGCCTGCATCTCCAACTTTCGCACTAGCCTCTTGTGTGGCACTGTATCAAAGGCTTTCTGACAATCCAAAAATATGCAGTCTGCCCACCCTTCTCTTTCTTGCCTTATTTTTGTTGCCTGGTCGTAGAATTCAAGTAACCCTGTGAGGCAGGACCTGCCATCCCTGAACCCATGTTGATGCTGTGTTACAAAGTTCCTTCGCTCCAGATGCTCCACTAGTTTTTTTCGCACAATCTTCTCCATCAGCTTGCATGGTATGCAGGTTAGGGACACTGGCCTGTAGTTCAGTGCCTCCTGTCTATCCCCTTTCTTGTATATCGGGACTACGTTAGCTGCTTTCCAAGTATCTGGCAGTTCCCCTGTTGCCAGTGATTTGTTATACACTATGGAGAGTGGTAGGCTCAGTTCTCTTGCTCCTTCCTTTAGAACCCAAGGGGAGATTCCATCTGGGCCTATAGCCTTCGTCACGTCCAACTCTAGTAAACACTTCCTTACTTCCCCACTGGTAATCTCAAACTCTTCCAGTGGTTCCTGGTTAGCTATTCCCTCACTTACCTCTGGAATTTCTCCTTGTTCTAAGGTGAAGACCTCCTGGAATTTCTTATTCAATTCCTCACACACTTCCTTGTCATTTGTAGTGAATCCTTCCGCCCCTATCCTTAATCTCATAACCTGTTCCTTTACTGTTGTTTTTTTTTTTTTTTTTGTGTGTGTGTGTGTGTGTGTGTGTGTGTGTGTGTGTGTGTGTGTGTGTGTGTGTGTGTGTGTGTGTGTGTGTGTGTGTGTGTGCGGCTGTCTGCGTCAGACACGACAGCGGGCAGGGCGGTGTCGCAGGTGACACATCACCGTAATCACCCCAACACCCATCATCATACCATTTCCTATCCCAGTACACAGGTGCAGGACATAGGCGTGGTGTGTGGCCAGGTGTGTAGTTAATGAGGAGCAGGTGTGTATGTGTGGCCGAAGTGTAGTTGACGTATAGAGTAGCACATGTAGAGTATATAGAGTATATATATATATATATATATATATATATATATATATATATATATATATATATATATATATATATATATATACATAGCCCCACAAGCTTCATTCTCAACCCAGGAAACTCGGTGATTACTCACATTAGCTTCGCTGATAACATTGTGAATCACGTCCCTCGACATGCTTACTTTCCGAGGACATCCTCAACCATACATGATTTGTGTGTTAAATCCAAGACTTAATTCTCACGACGTCAGCTACCACACAGAGGCCTGGAAGGGGGGTTGAAATAGCCTAAGCTACTCTATCCCTTTGAGATGTATTTTGTCTTGTCTCAATAAACATGAACTTGAACTTGAACAGAAGCATGACTCGGGGGCCTCCTGCCCATCCTCTCGGCAGACCCCAAAGGCGCCCCCAACCATTCTCAAAACAACATCGCTACACCACTCATCCTACTCCGGCGCCCTTCCATGCCTCATCATTCATCACTGCGGTAAAACACACACACACACACACACACACACACACACACACACACACACACACACACACACACACACACACAACAGCATGCGTCTGACAAGTGTGGCCCGGGTAGTTGCCAAGCTCAAGGCTACGCACCACAAACATAAGCATATCAGGACCTCACTTGTGTCACGTGGACGCCATCTTGAAATTCCTGCAGTGGGGGCAAATATTATTTATGTGTATTGTTGACCGTCAAGAAATCTTACGGATATAATTATTGTTATATATTATCCGGCTAACCACACACACCCACACACACACACACACACACACACTAGGGGGCCTCGTAGCCTGGTGGATAGCGCGCAGGACTCGTAATTCTGTGGCGCGGGTTCGATTCCCGCACGAGGCAGAAACAAATGGGCAAAGTTTCTTTCACCCTAAGTGCCCCTGTTACCTAGCAGTAAATAGGTACCTGGGAGTTAGTCAGCTGTCACGGGCTGCTTCCTGGGGGTGTGTGTGTGTGTGTGTGTGTGTGTGTGTGTGTGTGTGTGGGGAAAAAAAAAAAAAAAAAAAAAGTAGTTAGTAAACAGTTGATTGACAGTTGAGAGGCGGGCCGAAAGAGCAAAGCTCAACCCCCGCAAAAACACAACTAGTAAACACACACAAGTGCTAATAGCTCGATTCTGCAGACACAAACAGTAAATACAGACGCGTGTTTGCTCTTAAGCTCAGTAATAACCTTGGACCCTTCAAGCCCATCTGGGCGAGTACATTCAGATGAGTACTCAGACAGCTGCGGTCTAGACAGGGGCAGTCAGGAAAACATATCCCACTACACTCAAGATTACCCAAACAATATACAATACTGGGGAATACCCATATAGTATACAATACCGGGGAATACCTATACAGTATCCTAGCTTATTGTGTCATTTTTGGCACCGTTTTGGCGAGTAATTGCACAGTATTAGCTTGTTAGTACTGAGCACTAGCTTGCCTACAAGACCCCTATGGTTCACCATCACTCACATGATGGGTATGAGGTGCCACCCTCAGCTCTACTTGTTGAGTCAGTTCGTAGCCGAAAGGTCTCGAGTCTCATTCTCTGGGCAGGCCAGAGCCGTTTGGGTATGTTTCCTTTCACCTGCTACCACTTTTCACCTAGCAGTGAAATAGATACCAGGGAGTTGGGCAACTGTTGTGGGTTGCATCATGAGGAAGGGCAGCAGTTGCCCCAGGGAGACTTGGATACAGCCTAGCAGGCTTGCTGTCCCCCCCTCGACTATTGGGAACCATTAGAAGAGATCTGGCAGCCCCGGCCTGACACTGGGAACACCGACGATAAGAAGCAACGCCTTTGGGAACCTCGTTTCATATGGGAAGTGAAGCGTGGGAGGAGTTCCACGAGGGTGGAGCCACCTGGGGGGAAGAGTTCCCCCCGGGGCACAGTGGAGGAGCTTTGTACCACGGGGAACAAAGGTGTTCCGCTCGTGGTACAACGTGGTATGGGAGGCAGATTGCAACAGATGGCGCTCTTCACACCTCGGTCCCGTGTTGGAGTGTGGCACGAGATAAGGCGAGATCGTCGCTGACTCGTTATCTCTCTTCTGCATTTAGACTGCAGCTGGAGGAGGTGGAGGCAAGAGGCGCCTGGAGGGCAGGGGACGGCAGGCGTGACGACCGACAGCGTGATACAGCGCACCAGTAATCACGTGCACCTGTTCACAGGATAAGCCCTGAGGCGCCAGGCAGGAGCGACTGCCTGCCTGCCTACCTACCTACCGGCTTGTAGCCTCTACATTTGGCGCCACGCAAGAAGAATGTCACCGTTGCATGTCACCTCGTTGAATATCACCTCTATCACCGTTGCGTATTGGTCCTCGAAGCGCTGGAGGCGGAATTTCAAAATCATATATTGATCTTCAGTGACAGAGGTCGAGTTTGACGGCTGTGTATTCACCTAGTTGTGTTTGCGGGGGTTGAGTCAAATTAACGTTAGCAACGTAGATTCAACGTTGATAACGTAGATTCAACGTTGATAACGTAGATTCAACGTTGATAACGTAGATTCAACGTTTATAACGTAGATTCAACGTTGATAACGTAGATTCAACGTTGATAACGTAGATTCAACGTTGATAATTTATACTGAGCCCACTAGGCATAAGATTCGGGTCGAGAGAGCGGGTGCGGGATGCGGTTCACACGCCACGCTGGGTCCAAGGGAAAGGGATGCGATAAGAATTCGGAAATTCTAGATAATGTACCTCGGGTAAACTTAGGCTGCACAGCGGCTGTGTACACTATCTGCCTCCACTACTTCACGCCCTGGGAACCCGGTTCATTCCATTTATTTTTACTCTGACCCCCTATTAAAATCCCTCCCTGAATCTGTGGTTCATTAGAGTGAATTTAGGGTTCATTAGACTCTCTATTTTAAAATGACTCTCCTCGTCTTCCCTATCTGTTGTTGTGAGCACTGTGCAGCGCTCATGCCTCCCTTGTTTGTTGTCATTTCCAAGCCTCTCAGTTCTGACATTTGTCTGGTACCATCACTGACTACGGGGGAAGTGATATCTGACTCTGGATAAGTCAGTTGTGTGTCTGGCAGCCAGTGTCACTTGTTTGACACTCCCCTCCCCCCCTCTCAGTTACGGTAGTTCCCCCTTCCCCCCCCCTTGCTCTAGTGTCAACACCAGTTTGACTCATCAGCTGAGTTTATGATACACATCCTTATCGTTCACTGCAAATTTCTTCCCCGTTATTCTTAGTTTCATATTTTCTTTTTTTTACTGTTGTTTTCTTTCCGATGTTGGCATGGAGAAGTTTGAGTTGCGTCTTCGCTTCATCGGCTAAGTATCCAGATTACGTACCAGAGTGCTGTCCACCCAGCCACCAGCGTCCTGTGTGTGTGTGTGTGTGTGTGTGTGTGTGTGTGTGTGTGTGTGTGTGTGTGTGTGTGTGTGTGTGTGTGTGTGTGTGTGTGTGTGTGTGTAATTTATTTACATATATTTACTTGAGTTGTAAAGATTTTAGTCAACACATCCGGTGTGAGCTAACAAAACCTACCAAAGAATGTTTCAAAAGTACAATATTGACACCTTGTGATGTCTCTCCAAGATTAATGGGATGGCCCGGTGTATGGGCGCGCCTCGGCTATGTGACGCTGCCCAACCCGTTCTCGCAAATTCGTAAAGTCAATATTGACTTATTAACTACGTGCATAGGTGATATACTAAACATAATAGATCCCTAAAAAGATTCATAGAAAACACCGACCTTACCTAACCTTGTTAGTATCTTAAGATAAGCATCTTATTGCTTCGTAATTACAATTATTACTTAACCTATACCTATTATAGGTTAGGTAATAATTGTAATTACGAAGCAATAAGATGCTTATCTTAAGATACTAACAAGGTTAGGTAAGGTCGGTGTTTTCTATGAATCTTTTTAAGGGTATCTATTATGTTAAGTATGTCACCTATGCACATATTTAATAAGTAATATTGACTTATTAAATTTGCGAGAACGGGTTGCGCTGCCAGGTATTACAATGGGACTTGTGTATCAACCCGTCCTCCTAAGGTTTCCCAACGTCAAGAAACTGTCGTACTAAAATATCCTTATCCTAACCTACCAGAGGACCTAAAACGGAAAACGGGACAGTGTGTGTCAGTTTCGCCAGCCGCTTCCATTTTTTAGTACGACAATTTTTGGCCTTAGGTAGAGAATACGTCAAATTATGACGTTGTATTAAGAGGACGGGCTGCGTGTACAGTTAGTGAAACAGTAATGAAGTGTGTGTTTGTCTTCAGGTGTGAGGCGGACGTCCCAGAAGCAGGGCTAAGTATTCCGTCATCTCTCTCATCTCCACTCCCACCATCATGTAAGTAGCATGTGTTGTTATCACTTTGTTGTCACTATAATGCTTCTGTATCATTCATATGTTAACCCCACATTTACTAGTATTTACCGACTGGCTCAGGTACCATTCTCAAAGGCCTCCGTATTGGCAGGGGAACACACAGTTGATTGACAGTTGAGAGGCGGGCCGAAAGAGCAAAGCCCAACCCCCGCAAACACAACTAGGTGAATACACAAGATTAGGACGAGTTAGACCATCACCTGGTGCCCTAATTACCTAATGATCCTAATCACAGTCCGGCTTCCCCACTGGTCTCTACACAATCCTAGTGACCATAATTAGTCACCTCATAAGAACACATCCATACTACCAACGATGCCTCTCACAAGTTCCACACACATGTCAGCCCACTACAATGAGAGGTAATATCTAGCAGCTAGGGGGGGAATGTCACATTGGCTAGACCATCGACGCATCCATGGCTCACTGTCGACTTCTCATGATGAATTGCAGATGAGAACAGTCCTAGCACCATCATCTCTTCCACAAGTGGTCTTTGCTCCTCTCTAGCCCTTCATGCCATACTTTCAGACACACACTACATTGTGCTTCAGTTTGCCATAACTTCCGGCTGTAAGCTTCCGGCCGGCACTCGGTCATTCAAGCTGCCACCGCCTTGTTGTATAGCAGGAAGCTTTTAGAGGGGTTGACACCCTAGGCGTTTGATGCCTGGCGTTTTGCGAGGCTTTGGCCTGGATTCCTATCCTGGCTGGGTAGGATTTAATGAGCGCCAATCCTTAACTGTAGCCTCTGTTTACCGAACAGTAAAATGGGTATTTGGTTGTTAAACGATTTGGCGGGTCGTATTCCTGAGAAAATTAGGATTAAGGACTTGCCCGAAACGCTATGCGTGCTAGTGGCTGTACAAAAATGTAAGAACTCTCATATATAAATAAATATATAACACCCGTTTTCTGAGCTGGATGTCAACTCTACCAGAGTCTCTGCTCAAATCATTCATTTTCTATAATGCCAACGCATAGGAATATGCGCAGCACAACAAAGTTGAAGCACATACTCAATCTTTTTTAAGACACAGTATTCATTGCCTGTGATGCAGGGTTGTACCAAACAAGCGACAAACTAATATGCTACAATAATTTGCTTAGCTCGTGCTTGTTTGGCCTGCACACATAGCCCGTCCTTTAACCAATCTCGTTTGGTCAACGTTCGCTTATTTTAACTGGACAAACTTCACTGTAGACTCAGGGGTATAATATCATAATTCGGTTTATCGAAGATAGGTAGCCTGTATGTATAAATATATTCATCACTTTCTATCTTGCTCTGATGAAGGCGAATTGAGCCGAAAACGCGTTCAGCATTCTCTTAATTCTTCAAATGTGGGTTTTCTAAAAAATATATCCTAGGGTTGAATTGGTGCATAGTCTACCCTCATACACAGCAGTTTCTATTGAAGGTCTCAGAGACAAAGTACGTGAGCCATAAGGTAAACTTAAACATAACTAGGACTTGCTCTTTAAATATAAAGTAATTAATAATAATTCATTGTGTCTGGGAACAGGCAGCTTATACGAAATGGTGTAATGAATTGACTGTGGAACATTGGGTGTACTCCTGTGTTCCAGCGTGGGTGTAGAGGTACTGGAAACTCGTGTGTAGAGGCACTGGAAACACGTGTGTACTCACCTAGTTGTGCTTGCGGGGGTTAAACAACGGCTCTTTGGTCCCGCCTCTCAACTGGTGTACAGATTCCTGTTGTGAACGTGTTCGTGTGTGAACGGATCACGTTCCAACTTCAGTATATGTGTACGTGTCCTTGCGTGGGCGCGTGTCCATGGAAATGCGTACTTACCTAACAGTTTACAGACCAGAGTTTCAGTTCTTGGGTCTCGCTTTTCCAACTGTCTGTCGCTTAATACAATGATAGACGAGTCCGTTAATTGTTATATCTGCTTTTAAACTATTTTAGGTTTATTAGTTTGAATGTTTTTCCACATTATGCCCAAACGCTTTGCATAATAATGGCTTCATAGGTATGTGTAACAACTGTGCCCTTCCTTTTATGTTCTCTGTACACACATTCTTTAGTTTACTTCATTTATTATGCACCCATACTCATGCAACCTGTGGGTGGTAGTGGAAAGGTTACAAAGGCACACAATAGGCTCAAACTGAACTCCAAAATTCATTTAGCTGGGCAAGTTACAGTTTGATAAACAAGTTTAAGCAAGTCTACACATGATTAGTTGAAAGAAATTTTGGTTTGAATTCTTGAATCTTATGTGTAATTCTGAGATTGTTTTGACACAGCTCATGCGGCAGACTGGGGCTTAATAGACCAAGTTAAGCTAACCAAAACAAAATAAACTGTTGTACTGTATATGCTAACAAACTGTGTAAGTAGCTCATCGCCGTTGTAATTTGCTCAGCTACAAGAATTCATGGGTAGAGTTACAGATATCATGATGTGCCTCCATGACACTTCCAGCACTGCTCACAGGATGGGCAACTTCGCTAATGCCACACATGCCGCTTTAGACACTATAGGCCGTGAGCTGCCTTCAAAACAAGAAAATGAGGAGGTTGTCTGTTACCCAACCTGTGTTACGTCCTTGTCAGGCAGGCACGGTCGACACCCACCTATGTGTGTGCGTGTAAAATGTAACTCTAAATTGTCTTTTACAATTATATTGGGTTTCATACGTTTTGCTTAAGCTCTTTCCAACATCTATGGAGGTACATTCAAGGTAAATATTAAGTGATTGATTGATGAAGATTACGCCACCCAAGAGGTGGCACGGGCATGAATAGCCCCGTAAGTGGTATGTTTTTGGAGTGAATGTGATCTTTGGTCGTAAAAGGATATACTGCGTCCTGTGCTCGCATTTAAATCGTCAGTTCTTACTATGTGATTACTATCGCGGGGGAGGATAGTGCTTGACAGTATCTATGAGGGTGTCCAGCTGCTGGACACTTTTTCATTACCAGAAGAGTGGCAGTGTTGATGGCTTCAGCCTCCTGATAGTTCCCTTCCCTTACGCGATGGTTAAATGATTTCACCGTCAATTGAAGGCGGCTCTGATGACACAACATGACTTAATAACTTGAGTCCTGTAGCGCAGTGGCCTGCGTCCTTGGTTTATAACCGAAGACACTGGGCAGGGTCTTAAGTTATGATTCCGGATAGTAGAATATCTGGAATCATCACACTTGGCGATCGATATGTAATAGGCCGGACCATGAGCTGGGGCTCAGTTCTCGCTAGATTTTTTTTTACTTGTAAAAAGAGCCTCCTGCAAGGGTCTTAAGGCCTTGGCTGGCCTGCCAGTGTGGCCTTGAATATCAAGCCGGGTGTGATCTTGAATTTAAAAGTTGTATTTTGTCTAGGTTATATGTTTTTCCTCGTCCTGCATCACAGCAAGAACAATCAGATGAAAACATTAACCACGCACACATGCACGCACGCACACACGCACGCACGCACACACAAACTTTAGAAACTTGCGTAAGGAATCGTTCAGGACCTGGTATACCACTTATGCCAGATCAATCCTGGAGTATGTAGCTCCAGCCTGGAGTCCATACCAAGTTAAAAACAAGACAAAGTTAGAGACGATTCAGAGGTTTGCCACCAGACTTGTACCGGAACTGAGAGGTATGAGCTACGAGGAAAGGCTAAGAGAGCTAAACCTCACGTTCCTGGAAGACAGAACAGTAAGGGGAGACATGATAATCATCTACAAAATTCTCAGGGGAAATGACAGGGTGGACAAAGAAACTCTTAGCACGGGTGGAACACGAACAAGGAGACACAGGTGGAAACTGAGTACCCAAATGAGCTACAGATACATGAGAAAGATTTTTTTCAGTGTCAGAGTAGTTAACAAATGGAATACATTAGGCAGTGATGTGGTGGAGGCTGACTCCATACACAGTTTCAAATGTAGATATGATAAAGCCCAGTAGGCTCAGGAACCTGTACACCAGTTGATTGACGGTTGAGAGGACATCAAAGAGCCAAAGCTCAACCCCCGCAAGCACAACTAGGTGAGTACAGGGGCCTAGCGGCTGAGTGGACAGCGCTCGGGGGGTCGTAGTCCTAAGGGCTCGGTTCGATTCCCGGTCGAGGCAGAAACCAATGGGTAGAGTTTCTTTCACTCTGATGCGTCTGTTCACCTAGCAGAAAATAAGTACCTGGAAATTAAGACAGCTGGTATGGGTTGCTTCCTGTGGAAGTGTGCGTGCGTGTTACAAATATATATAGTACACATAACAGAGGAAAAAGAGATTGGTTAGAAAGGCGGGGTCCAAGAGCTAATAGATTGCAGGAACTGTAGGAATAAATAGTAAAATACACACACGTGCGCGCGACATTGGAATGGCGTTCTAAAGTTAAGCACCGTTAGGTTTAACCAGTAATTGAACAGGTAACCACATGGAAACAGCCTCGCGCTTGGCTATAGTGAGACCTCTAGCCAACACTTGTAGGTGCAAAACTATGAAAACAGTAAACATAAAATAGGAATACTGAAGATCATCAGGACAATGTGGGGGGACCTTCGACAACCCCTCGACTTCTGTCCTCGTCGAGACCACTAGAGAGAGAGAGTCGCCCTCATGTAAATTCAGGTAAAAGGGAGTAACCTAGCTGAATTATAAAATCATTGACCATCACCGTTCAACAATTAAAAAAAAAAGTATAGCCGCAAACGCCAGATTAAGACCTTCGCTGGTTCACTAATAAGATGATGTGCATCTCTCTTGACGGGGCCTCGCGGCTGAGTAGACAGCGCTCGGGGGTCGTAGGCCATAAGAGCCTGGGTTTGATTCCCGGCCCAGGCAGAAACAAATGGGTAGAGTTTCTTTCATTCTGTTCACCTAGCAGTAAATAGGTATCTGAGAGTTAGATGGCTGCTTCCTGGGGAGGTGTATGCGTGCGTTAGAGAGTAATATATATGTAGTAGACATAATAAAGGACAAATAGATCAGTTAGAATG